AGGTCCAGGTAGGAACAGGTTCCATTAAAAATTTCCGATGCCGACCGCCAAAAACGAATTTCAGATTCTTAATCTACACCCCAAAAAACATATAATTAAAAAAAACAGTCTGATTGTACAGCAAGTGTCAACTGAACATGTGATAATGCAGTCTGACTGCTCTAATGTGACCGCAACTACGCAATCATAAACTTGTTGTTTACATTTGATATTTTGACGGGAACTCATCGCAACTGATTTCCGGACAAGCTTCACTGCATCCTGATCCATCCAACGTACCGGAAACTTTACTTTTTTCTAAATAGTTGGCCGAAGACTGACAAATATATTAAATGCAGGAATTTTAGTCTAAATATGTGTCAGCAAGATCTTCTGAAGGCGTCTATTTTGCTACTGAAGCATCGCCAAAGATCTTGCAATATTCATCCACTCTGCACAGTGGGTTTAAGGTAAAATCATGTCAATAATTTTGTGTTACATGACTAACCCAAGTGGTTATACTAATTTTTGACTTTCAATTTCATTTTTCATTGCTGACATTAAAAAATTGTCTGGATAAATAGATTCAAACCTGAAAGTGATATGGGCCTGAAGAAATTTTCTGCAGAAATAGGCCAGATTGGAAAAATTTTAATTTATTGCTCAGAATTCTAATTTTCCTATTTGTTACTAGAATCTTGCAGCTCCAAAGAGACAAATTTCCATTACATTTGAAATCTTACTACCCAATCAGCCCTTTTGTTAAGAATTAGATGGGAAGTAATTCATCATTTCATGATCTAACTGGAAAGGAATCTTGCATTCCCAAAAACTGTCATCAAGCTGAAGTCACAGCTCAAAATGCATGTGTAAAATGTAATTCATTGCCTGTTGCTGCTGAAATCTTGTTGCTAATTAACTTTGTTACATGTTTTTGAAAACTTTGATTTTTTTGTTATTATGGCAGCTTTTTAAAAAAAAGTGTGACCGTTTTGATTAAAATACATGTGGATTTGGAGTGGACTGAGGACCTTGTGACAGAATTAGACTAAGCTTTGGATTTATACATCAAGTTAGACAATCCAGACAAAGGAAAGAGTGGATTTATTGACATTAATTAACAAGATATTTTTCTTTTAATTGATAGTTAATGGCATTTGTGATGTAGTATCAAATTTTATTACTCCGAACTTTTAACGTATTGCAAAAAAAAAAATAACTTTTTCAATATCAAACTTGATGCTGTTGCTGATAAGAGTATTATAATATATACATACTGTATTAATATCACTTATTTGCTTAAATTGCGGGGTAACTCAGGACAGTCCTCCGACACGGCATAAAACTGTTTTAGTAGCAAAACTAATTGGAATATTGCAAAACTATAGATAGTGGCGTAAATGTCAACATTTTTCTCATCTATGTAGTATAAAGGAAGCTCAAAAATACTACATTTACTAGCTTTGAAAAATTCCTGAAAAAATGGTGAAGAATGATATTTTGAAAAGTTACTTCTGCTAAGGTCTGTAGTAAAAAAAATATTTGCATGTTCATAGATACGGTAATATCGAATCAATAATACGGTAATTAATGTATATGGTAACATCAAATCAATAAAGGAAAAACAAGTAAAGATCACAGAAAAAGGTCATTTTTTCTACCTCTACATCATCTACAATGAAAGAGGAGGACTTCAGAGTACTGTTAGTAATAGATGAGTACACTCTGCATGCTTCAAACGTTTTATAATTAACTTTTATTGCAAGTGTCCCGGATTACCTCGTTCCCAGGGGTAAATTGGGACGGTTTTATTTTGCATCTGGCACCTTATGAATAGCATATGGAATTTTTTTGAAGATGCCATTGGATAGCCCTTGCAAAGAGCTATAAATTGAGTCTAAACTTGTTTCTGAAATGTTTCCTGGTAAGAAGTTATTACCAAAAAAAAGCTCAAAACCATCCCATTTTACCCCGTTTGACGGTAGTACTTTGTGCAGAACACTTAGAAATTACAGATCAATAAATCAGTAATCCGTTGCCAAATCAATCCTTTGTTTTTATTCAGGAATGATTGAAATCAGGTTATTCATGTTCCTGAAGGTCACAATAACTTTATCTTCATTTTATACAGATAAAGTACGTCAGAGCAAACACATTAATTTATTTTGCGCTAAAGAAATGCAAGACCAACAAACTTACCGTTCTTTCTGGTAACCTATATTTTGGGAGATTTACTTGAGAAATTAAATGATATCAGTTAAATCAACAAGGCTGCCGCACAGCTGTGAATCATACCGAATTACATTTGGGAAATAGAAGTTCTTGCATGATGCTGCTCATCTTGATTGTTGCCATGAATTGATGGATAAGTACATAGGTACATATTTATATATTGGATGAGATCAAAGTATCTCAAGTTGGATCAATAGATAAAGAATATGTGATCCATAATTAGAGAGTTCTGCCCTATTGTTAGTCTATGGTACCTATATCTATTCAACATTTATAGCATTTTGAAGTTATTAAACCTACCTAGTTTATGTATAAAATGCCAGTCTCATATCTTTTGATATTAAAGTTGTCAACTGTTTACAGTTGAAGCAATAGTTCTGTGGCTGGCCTAGAGAGGTCTTCAATGCAAGATTTCAAACTGGAAAATCTGACAGAAACTACTATAAATTGATGATACAAGAATGATATGGAAGTTAGGAATTGTTTAATTTCCTATCAGTTTGCAAATATGAGCTCTTTTAAGATAATATACTGCTAAAAAGCATGTTTTAATAAAAATAAATTTAAATAAAGCATGTTTTAATAATAATAACAATAAAGTTTATGTTGCCCAGACCGAAAAAGTTAGTCCTGGTATCTTTCCTACACAAAAGATTGAAGATTATGCAAGAGAAAAATAGTGACTCAAAGTGGAGCAGGTATTTCATGCCTGACATTTCAAAACCATCTAGTTTTACGGTATCAATTCCTTATTTCTCGCAGGAATATTTTTGGTGAAAATATTTTGAATCAAACCGCTGTCAATATTGTTGTAATGTTCACGCTAAGAATAACCCATATTTAAAATTGACAAGAAATTTTTTTAGTTTGAAGCTGCAATATTCTATTAACTGTTTGACTCCCAATCATGTACCTATAGGTATATGACCTTTATTTAGACTATGGAATGAGTGACAATAACTATCTTGAACATGCCATATTGATGAGCAACTCTGATGGAGAAGTTACAAGAAAATTCATGCATGCTAATGCAGACTGAGCACAAAGGTTTATATTAGTAAGTAAGAGTGAGCCCCATCTGGGTAGGAGAAATATACTCATGCTTGGAGAAGGAAGTAATTATGAAATTATGACAAGCAACTCACGGAAGTTGACATTTGGATCATATTTCAATACAATCTTCCACATTTATAGACCAATTTATAGCCATTTTTATAGACCAATTGTGAAGGAAAGCTCAAGTACAAGAAATAGTTTTCCTAGCATCTGCCACAGGAACAGTTAGAGTACACTGCTAGGAGAAGAACCTATTAATTTGAGTAGACACAACTTTCAATGGTAGTAACTCATACAGATGAATATCTTACAAATTGGTTCAAACGAAAATGGTTGTTTAGCATGGCTGATGATGCCATAATTATCTTGATAGGTTATCTTGAGTAATCTCTTCATAAATATGATAGGTATTCTCTTCATAAAATATGCTAAGTAATTTCTTCTTCATAATAACCCAGCATTTCAATGAAAATTCAGGAAGAATTTATTTGATTTCAAGATTATTTTGATGAAAGTATATGAGCTATATTATTGTGTTGAGCACTCTCAATTCTGAGACATCAATGTCATAAAATATTTCAAGTCATTTAGGGAGAATAAAAAATTCAGTCGGACGAGGAATCCATGTACGTTCAGAATTACTGAGCTTTCGAAGCAATTAATTTCCATTAAGGCAAGCTGCTCAGGTATCAGTGGTGTGAAATGGTGGCAATATATTTCTTACAAAGTTCTCAGTGGTGAATAATTAATTAATTATCTAATTATTTAGCTGCTCACTTTCTTAGATTAAACGTTAATTGGACTAATTATGGGTGGAATGTAATCTTTATTAATCATTAAGTGTCATGTGCTGTCAAAATACATGCAGTGTTTAGGTTACACATTGAGGGCAAAATGACTCACAGGCGGGTTCTTTATTGATATTAAAGAGAATATTTAAAGAACCGAATACCTTGGTATTATTGCCCTTTTTAGCATGACTTGAAACCTTTATTATCCTGAAAAATATTGCATAATTAATTTTTCTATTAATTGGTATACATGTTTGGAATCACTGAAAAAAGCATTTATTCTTTCTTTATGAAAAATTCAGGTAAATTTGTGGCAAAGATAAATCTTCAGCTAGCACAGAGAAGTCATGCTTGTAAATTATTGCTGATCTCTATTTTAAAATTATTTTATGTATTTTAGTATTATTATTTTATGGACTTTTTTTTGATGCTACCATAACTGTTCACATGCTTGTATATGTGTACGGTATATAAATGCAGAATATGTGTATTACATAACTTGTAATACACATATTCTCAGTGTAGCATGAGCTGTTGACACTCGACAATATTCAAATATTATTTATTAAAAATGAGTATTTCATGTTTATGATCATTGGAAAACTATGGGCAGACAAAAGATGTTGAGTGTATCTTTATGTGCGGGTCTCTAATGAGCTTGTATCCATGATAATAAAAACTTTATTGGCCTCATGTTGCCCCAAGTTTGGTTGATGAGCTGTTATGATGTGTCATTATTTTACTATATAAGTAGCTCCAGTGTTATTTTTAATGAAATTGCATCTACAGTGGGGGGAAATAAATATTCGTACACTTGAAAAATCGTATTTTAATGTATGTAAGTACACAAACTTAACAGGAAAAGTGATTTAAATTATGTATAGAGACGCATAGTATTCAAAAATACTATCAAAAGAAATTAAATCTCAATGCANCGAGCAGCAGTAGCAGCAGTGCAGGTAGCAGTAGTAACAGCAGTAGCAGCAGCAGCAGTAGCAGCAATAATAACTCGAGCAGCAGTAGCAGCAGTGCAGGTAGCAGTAGTAACAGCAGTAGCAGCAGCAGCAGTAGCAGCAATAATAACTCGAGCAGCAGTAGCAGCAGTGCAGGTAGCAGTAGTAACAGCAGTAGCAGCAGCAGCAGTAGCAGCAATAATAACTCGAGCAGCAGTAGCAGCAGTGCAGGTAGCAGTAGTAACAGCAGTAGCAGCAGCAGTAGTGGCAGCAGTGAGGAAGAAGAAACTAGTGATGAAGAAAGTAGTTCGAGAAGCTCTTCATGTTCCTCAGGGTCTGAGGATGAGGCCAAGAGGAGTGGGGAACACCGTCCCATCTCTCGTCTCCCCCGCAACAAACCTCTTCCGCGTCACAAGCCAGAGCTTGTAGCTTCCCCTCGTGCTAGTGATGAGAGTCATGTTGAGGAAGATGAGGAGGACTTCCCTCCCCCAAAACTGTCACCTGCCGTTTCCCCATCTAAAATTGGCCCGTCTAGTCCCTTTAAACGGTCTATTTCTTCGCCTCAAAAGTCACCTGTCAAATCCTGTATCAAGCCTGTCTCGGCTACCGTCAAGCACCGAACCAAAGAGCCTAGCCAGGAGGCAGCGACGTTGCCTCCTAGCAAAGAGGCAACGAACTCCATTAAAACAAAGCCAGGAAAATGCAGAGCCCTTGCCTCTCATGAGCTCAGGCCCGACTTGGAGCAAGAGTTTGAGAAACTCCTTACGGGAGTCAAGCCAGCGACCCAGGCACCTGCGCGCTCGTCAGGCAGCCCCAGCGACGTCCTCGTCGACCCTGACTCTGATCTCCCGCTAATCATTGGCAGAGGCAGGAGAAAATTCAAGCCGCTTCTTCCTTACAAAGTCAACGTCACTACTGATCAGGATATTGCTGGTAAAGAAGCATCTTCAAACATATCTCACAGCCGCAATTCCAGCCCCGACAAAACCAAATGTTTTCAAAGCAAAAGTGGTGGCAAAAACTTGAAGTGGTTGCCAATGGCCAGGGAAGTGATGCCAGAAATACTTTAGATGCCAGTTCAAGATGTGGCGACAAGACCAAGAACGCGTATAAAATAGGTGACAGTGTTCCGTTCAACAAGAGCGTTATACCCGAAAATTGCAAGCTTGACACCAGCAACATTCCTGCTTCACTTCTGGTTGGGGGAGTGAGACCAACCATTGCAGACTTGGTCAAGGTGCGGGAACGAAGGAAATCTTTCGAGCGCGACACATCAAGCGGCAGTGAATGGGAGAAAAGAAGACTTGTTGATCGCGATACTCGAGTTAAACGTCGCACTCAAGACTTGCGGCGCCAGACCAAAAAGTCTCAGGAGCCAAAATTACGCAGGCTTGTGTCCCGGAGTTCAGTAGACTCGTGTTCAAGTAAAGGCCATCAGGCACGTGAAGCTGAAGAACTCAGCTGCGACTCAGCAGATTCTTCCTTCACTCTGGACGACGATGCAGAGCCAGGAGGGCACAGCAGTGGGGTGGACACAGCCTTGCTAGCCAGCAGTAATCCTGTTGTATATTTGTCCTCGTCTTTTGCTGCAGCTCAAAATCCCCCCCTGCCTCTATCATCTGCTCTCACCCTGCCGTCCCCGTTGACCCTTTCATCACCGTCATCATACCTCATCAAACAGAAAATGATGACGGCTACTAAAATGACTCAGGATCGTACCTCATATTCTGCTATTACTCAAAACGAATCTCCATCTTGTCGTAATGTAAACAAACCTCAAAATGTCCACTCAAAAACTGCAAACAATTTCCGATCCACCGAGAATTTAAGTTCATCAGAAATTCTCCTAGGCCGCCATAGTGAGCGAAGCGAGAACTCGCGTCCCATGGAGGAGCCCCGAGGCTGCAAGAGCTCGACGTGTGAGGACGAATGTTGCCTCAGAGTTGACTCGTCGAGTGACAGCGACGAGTCTTCCCTCTCTGACGAGCCCGGTGTCAGAGTCGACCTAGACTCTGAGCAAACCCAGACTTTTGCTCTGTCTGCAGACGCCTTGTCGCAGGTTAGAGTTCAGCTTATGGTCTTGTTGTTCAATAGTGAATATTTTGAGTTGAAGGGTGAATATTGAGTTGAAGGGTGAATAATGAGTTGAAGGGTGAATATTGAGTTGAAGGGTGAATATTGAGTTGAAGGGCGGGGGTTAAATAAATAGTCCCATTAATGGTAGTTGATATTAAAAACAGCCGTGGTTAAGCATCAATTAATAACTAAAGTGATTTGCTCCTCTAGTAAATAATTAGGGGTTCTCATTTCTATTATTTTGATAATAATTAAAATCACTAAAGATTGATTGATTCATCAAAGAGAATCCTATGCCTGGAATATCCCATTGTTCACAATCGTTACTTGCAATGTTTTTTCTTGCTACACAACGTGATGTTACTTTTAATTTTGATAACTATCGATAATTGTGTTTTTTTTTGGTTCAATATAACAATCGCCTTTAATTCGAATATCTTGACTACAGGGACGCATCGGGTCCAAAATCTCGGCCCTGAAGATGTCAAAGTTCGGCTCGAGTGGGCTGAGGGACGTGGGCAGCGCTGCACACTTGCCCACTCGCTGCGACCTCCCCCACGCAGCCCCAACCCTCTCCCCCAACCATATTCCCCACAGGGGGAGTGAGCCCCTAGCCTCGGGGTCTTCCGGGGCTGAGGAAGCTGGCAGCGGCAGCAACGACAGTAACAAGTCTAGTAGAAGTAGCAACGACGGTAACAAGTGTAGCAGCTGCAGCAAATGTAACAATTCCAACAACCACGGTAGCGGCTGTAACCAGGCCAAGAACAATGGTTATGACTGTTGTGGCAAACAAGTAGGCAAGTGTAGCAGCAGCAGTAGCTGTAGCAGGAGTACAGCCAAGTGTAGCAGCTGTAGCAGGAGTGCAGCCAAGTGTAGCAGCTGTAGCTGTGCTGCACGGAAACCAGCTACTCAGTGTCAGTGGCCTGGCAAGGTGAAGACGGCCGCTGAGCGCAAGACCTACGCTGACTTGCCAGCTGCCAAAGCGACTCATGCCGCTCATAAGGTGAGGCTCTATTACCAAGCACTAAGTCTCTTTTAAACTTATAAGGCCTCCTATTTAGATCTCATTAAGACTCATCAGTAGACCTTATTAAGGCTTCTCATTAAACCTTGCTCCTTATTATATCTCCTTATTTACGGCTCCTGATTAGACGCTGAAGTTGCGGATCTTTGTCCAGATCACAGCAAAGTTACCTTCTCATTCGTAGAGCACTGCGAAATTCCTGTAAGAGCTTTTCTCTATTCTCAAGTAAATCTGATGGCAAGTTTAGAAGATGTTGCAGGGGTAACGAAAGCTTTTCTTGTGTAACGGCAGGCTCATCTAGACTTCAAAATCCGATGCTCTGGCGCTAAACATTGCTATGAAGGCTTGCTATATCACCACGACTGTAGTGTCGTCATCACTCTTATTTCATCTAAACTCTGGGAGATTAGTTGAAATAATATACGTAGCTAATATCATGGAAATTCCAAATCTAATTTTTGACTACCTAAATCCTAAGTAAAATTAATAGCCACAGAAGCGCCTTGCGTCTGAAGCATCCACTAACTCTTGTTGTGTTTGTTCTCACAGGTAAGCTCTCAGATATTCACGTATGAATATTAAATGACGCTGTACTCATCTTGGCTGCCGGTGGTGAGTACCTCTGCTTGTTTATTGCTCCATGGAGGCAACCAGAAGCGAGATTTGGTGCCTACGCGGTTTAAGGTAGCGAAAGGATAGGAGGATGATGGTAGCAAAATAATTGATACGTTTGCGGAATAAGGCTACATTTGTTAACTGCCTCGGCGCTAAATACCTGCTAAAGTTAAGATACTCTTGAAGTGACGAGAGTTAAGAAGAACGCGTATGCTGTTGCATGCTAGTGATAAGAGTCTCGGCAGTGACCCGGGGTTACATTTCTAAATTTAGAGATTACAACATAAATTTGTCATTTATGTTGAGAGAAATGCAGTTGCTTCTGCTTGTTGTACAGGGACTGGCGCACCGCTCTACACTGTGTTAGTATAATAGAAATATCTTATTATGCTTCCTGTTCTTACTTGACTTGGTGCAACATGCCATTCAGTGACGCGTGACCTTGTGAATCAAGTCACGAAAAATTCAAGAATCGGCATCAGGCCATGGGCCTATTTCTTCAATGCCGACACTTCTATTCTATTCTATAAAAGTTTTCCTATATTTCCTAGTAAACCTTGATGGCAAGTTTATAAGATGTTGCAGGGGTAACGAAAGCTTTTCTTGTGTAACGGGAGGCTCATCTAAACCTCAAAATCCGATGCTCGGGCGCTAAACGTTGCTAGGCTTGCTATATCAGCCGTTAACCGGAGTGTTGTCATGACTCTTATGTCATCTAAACTCTGGGAGATTAATTGAAATAATGTAGATAATATCATGGAAATTTCAAATCCAATTTCTGACTACCTTTATCGTAAGCAAAATGAATAGCCGCAGAAGCGCCGTGTTTCTGAAGCATTCACTAACTCATGTTGTGCTTGTTCTCGCAGGTAAGCTCTCAAATATTCACGTATGAATATTTAATAACGCTGTACTCATCTTGGCTGCCGGTGGTGAGTACCTCTGCTTGTTTATTGCTCCATGTGGGCAACAAGGTGCAAGATTTGGTGCCTCCGCGGCTAAAGGTAGTTGATGGTAGCGAAATATTTTATGTGTCTGCGGAATAAGGCTTCATTTTTTAACTGCCTCGGTGTTAAATACCTGCTAAATTTAAGATACTATTGATGGAACGAGAGTTGAGGACGATGTTGCATGATAGTGATAAGAGTCACCGCAGTCACCCGGGGTTACGTCGCTAAATTTAGAGATTACTTCGGTAACTTGGACCGTTTCTGTGCAAGTCTAACGCGCGATCAAAGAAAAATTTGTCATGGATTTTGAGAGAAATGCAGTTGCTTCTTCTTGTTGTACAGGGAGCAGAGTAGCCTGAACAATTCATATTGTTATCTGGTAGTGATATTTCTAAACTGACGCACCGCTCTGTACTGTGTTAGAGTAGTAGAAATATCTTATTGTGCTTCCTGTTCTTATTTGACCTGTTGCAACATGCCATTCAGTGACGCGCGCTAGCTATACTGGCTGCAGGCATGATGCTCGACTGACGTTAGGACGAATGTATGTTGTGACCACACGTGGAACTTGTGTGTCGGGACCACACGGGAAATGTGTTCGTATCGCGACCACACGGGATCGTGTGTGTCTAGCCCACACGGAGAACGTGGGTGTCTAGCCCACACGGAGAACGTGGGTGTCCGGAGCACATGGGGAACGTGTGTGTCGGGACCACACGGCGAACGTGTGTGTCGGGACCACACGGGGAACGTGTGTGTCGGGACCACACGTGGAACTTGTGTGCCGGGGCCACACGGAGAACGCTTGTATAGTCCGCACGTGGAACTTGTGTGTCTAGACCACTCTGGGAACGTGTGTGTCGGGACCACTCGTGGAACACGTGTGTCGGGACCACAAGCGAAACGTGTGTTTCGGTATCACTCATGGAACGCTAGACAAAGTATCTTGTGTGTCGGGACCACACGCGCATCGTGTGGTCCGCTGCGTGTCCTGTCCACCCGTGCGTCGGGGTCGTTAGCTGCGGTGGCTGCGGTTGCGCGCTGTAATGCATACCGCGGCTAGTCTGGACCACAGGCTCATCGTGTGGCCCGCCGCGTGTCCTGTCCACCCGTGCGCCGGGGTCGTTAGCTGCGGTGGCTGCGGTTGCGCGCTGTAATGCATACCGCGGCTTCGTGCTCGTTAAATCCATTAACATATTTCCTTTGCCTTGAATGCCATTAACGAAGGATTAAGTGGTGATTTTGCGGTCTCACTACAAACTCACTGATCGTTATTGTCGTAGGTGCTATGAAATTAACATTGATCATTATTATTAAGCTATCTTGTCCAGAATAGCCACCTCTTGTATGCGTTTGTAGAAGAGGAAAGGTCTGTAATGGAAGAATAACTCTAAGGAAACCTCCGTACAGTGAAGTATATCATGTGTAAAGACGTTTATATTGGTAAATGTTTACTCTCAAGGACCTGGTGACTTGAGATTACGAGGAGAAAATACATACTTTAAAGTTCATTCACGTTAACTTGGTTGAGTTGTATTCAGCAGTTTTTGTTCGTATTCTTGTGCAATTCGTTACTTAGCCCATCGTTTACCATTGAACGTTTGCTGGTAGCTAATGGTGTGATACTGTGAGGCATTGACATTGTAATTTCAATATTTTGATATCATAATTAATTATTGGGGTTAATTATCACATCTATTGTTTGATGTATTAACTTTGACAGCGCTTCGCTGCAGGACTTCGATTGTTGTTTCGTTGTGCGTGCATGCTGTATATGTGTTCGTATTACGCATAGGTATGCGTGTCCGTTGTGCATGTATAGTTCGTACTTGTACGCGATGTCTGCCACATACTGGCCATCTAAATGCAATGCCTAGTTTGCATGTGTCGCCAACCCTGCAATTCACAATGAGGTTCATGATTATATATCCATTACCGTGCACGCTCATCGCCGCCGGTGTGCGCGACACTCGGCGCGACCATATACGTCGTGCACATTGATTTCTTGCGTCTGCGAGCGTATACTCCTTCTCCCAGCTGCTTGCGTATGTACGCTCACGCTGTTGATTGTAGCGTGGACACTGGCCATCGTCTGCTACGTGCGTACGCATGCTTACGCCTGAGATCGCATGCAGTGCGCGCACGCATGCTCAAGCCATCCATTTATTGTTTGCTGGGTGTACGGGGCTCGAGGACAGCGGCGCCTCGCTCACTGTTAAGCGCCGGGTCATCGCTACTAATTACACTTAATTGCTGTGTTGAGCGACCTATGATAAGTACTCTGCAAGCTGGAACAGCTTTACGAGTGCATGTGTCGGCAGGAATAGTGAAGGGTGCTCATGCAACTTTTATTCTGCAAGCAGGAACAGCGTTACGAGTGCAGTGTCGGCAGGAATAGTGAAGGGAACACTTGTAACTATGGTAGGAATAACGCTGCGCCACGTCGTACATAGTACATATCTCTTTGTAATATGTAGCGCACGCAGTGCAAATCAATACGAGCCGTTTACGTATGAACGCTGTAGTTACGTGTTGCTCTCAATTATCTGTATTGTAGAGCCATATTACATAACAGAGTCACTCTGTGTATTAGTGACGATAGGAAAAATAGCGACGAGGCTCGTGGTAAAAATAGCTACTCGCATCGTGATGTGTCGTACGATACGTGCTGCAACGTGCAATACGTTTTACGTGTCGTACCTCGCGCGTCGCATATATGCTTCGTAGCACGGTTCCGTCAGGTGGGAGAATGAATGCTCTGTATGTATGGCTGCACGCGCTGTATAAGTATGAATGCACGCACTCCATGCGGTTGTATGGCAACGCACGCACTGTATAGGTATGAATGCACGCACTCCTTGTGGCTGTATGGCTGCACGCACTGCATGTGGTATGTGACTGATGATTTATTAGGTCGTTAGTTGATTTCACTGAAGCCATATTTTCCCCTTCAGTGTTCACCTCCCTGATTATCAGAAGTCTTCGCTCATCAGCGGCTGTTGGCTCGCAATCCCTAATTGGCGACTGATTTTCAGTGTTCACCTCCTTGATTATCAAATGTGTTGTACGATACGTGCTGCAAAATCTTATGTCGTTTTACGTGTCGTATCTCGCACGTCACGCACGTTTCGTAGCACGGTTTCCGTCAGGTGAGAGAATGAATGCTCTGTATGTATGGCTGCACTCGCTGTATAAGTATGAATGCACGCACTCCATGCGGTTGTATGGCTGCACTCGCTGTATAAGTATGAATGTATGCACTCTTTGCGGCTGTATGGCGGCTGCATAGTTGCACGCACTGTACATGTATTAATTCACGCACTCCTTGTGGCTGTTTGGCTGCACGCACTGCATGTGGTATGTGGCTGATGCATTATAAGGTTGTTAGTGGATTTTATTAAAGCCATATTTTCC